TTTCTTAACTCTCCCTGTGAGAGTCATTGGCTTGCAGTTGTTCGAATCCTTAGATACATCAAAAGATCACCAGGAAAAGGACTTGTTTACAATGATAGAGGACATACAAACATTGTTGGATATTCAGATGCAGATTGGGCAGGTGATGCAAGTGATAGGCGGTCAACATCAGGCTATTGTGTCTTCATGGGTGGTAATCTTGTCTCATGGAAGAGTAAAAAGCAAAGTGTTGTTGCACGATCAAGTACAGAAGCAGAATATCGTGCTATGGCTCACACCACATGTGAGCTCTTGTGGCTAAAATTCTTAATTCAAGAGTTGCAGTTTTGCAAGGTTGGTCATATGGAACTAGTTTGTGATAACCAGTCAGCTTTATACCTCTCCTCTAATCCAGTTTTTCATGAGAGAACAAAGCATATAGAGGTTGACTGCCATTTCATCAGAGAAAAGATCCTCTCCGGTATCATCAAGACCACCTCAGTTTGCTCCAAGGATCAACTTGCAGATATCTTTACTAAATCTTTACGAGGTCCTAGGATAACATATATATGTAACAAGCTAGATGCATATGATATATATGCTCCAGCTTGAGGGGGAGTGTTAAAATAATTCTATAAGATATAGTTTAAATATACTAGTTTATCTTCTTCTATTTTCTAGTTTAGTTTCCTTAGTCAGTTTTATCTAAATCCCTAAACTTTAGGGATTGATTATGTTTTATGCCTATTTATTTTATTGTACCTATTCAGATTCAATAATAAGAAATTATTCATATTCAAGTATATACTTAGATTTATCACCTCGTAATTTGAATAATTTAAACATCACACTTATAAACAATTCTATAGATGATAAAAATGTTCTGATCACTCACATCTTCAAGTTCTTTCATATATGCTTCAGCCTTTTCAACATTGCTGTTATCTTCCATGAGAACAGAATCAGATATTTCCAGCTCCATCACTTTGATCTCTGATGGACTTTTAAGTCCAGGGGTTGAATGATTGTGGAGTAAGTTGTTGGCCATACTCTCTACCTGACTTTCATGGAAGTAAATTTGCGTAATATATAAAGAGAAAAGAAAAAAAATCTAGTATGTCAATTATCACAGTTAAATATCCCCAAGTCTATCTCGCATTTATCAGTAGCAATAAATCATCAAAATATATGACAGCACGTCAGATAAGAAAATCCCCAAGCTTTGATTATGTACCTCTCCAAAAACTTCTTCTGAAGAATCTTTAGAATTTCTGCAGTTGTTAAGAACTGTTACTTGTCCACAAGAACCGATATAAGAAATTACAGAATCTATCAAATAAAAGATAAAGTAAAACGATCAATTTGTTTTGCAGGACCTGCTTTTACTAGGAGACTGAGATATGCGCTTTACGGACCTCAATGATGTAAAATCTGCTTCAGAACCCTGTGGAATTGAGTCTTATAGATGTTCAAATAATTTCTTTAAGATGATTCTTTTCAACACACGTACCATATCTTCATATTAGAGTAATATAGTTATGTTCTTCATATTCTTGTTTTTCCTTTCTTTTTCAATGAAGAAACAAAAAATCATTCCAGTTATGTGAATGGGTGTGGGACCAAGGGTCCAAGGGGAAGAAATATTCACCAAAAGTACATAGCAGGAGATAGTAATGAAGACATTTGTGCTATGACTTTAAGCAGGTTGTGGCTTGTGGGTGTCAAATCATTTGAGTGATGATTTTTTCCTTCAATCGTTCAAAAGGTAAAAGTCTTTAAAGTCAAAGATGTCAAACCTCAATAGTTTTTCTCTTCAAGAATGGGGTTGAAAGCTTCTGATTGTCACCACTGTCAATCAGATGACCATTCTTTGATAATGTAATACCCCGTATTTCCATACTTTGGCCGGAGCTCACTAAGGAGGATGTTTCTTTTTGGTGTAAAGAAGTTGTTAAAACCCTGTTAGCTCCAAAGTTCCTGAGATAACAAAATTCATTTAGACAGTCTTTGCATGAAATTAAAGAGATCAACAAACAGAAGAAGGAAGTACTTGACACAAGACCTTGAAGATTTTAAGCTTGAAAGAGGAGGAGTGATCTTGCAAGATTTAAAAGAAGAAAGTTTATTTCCTTCTAAGGAAGTGATCCTTGATTTCTGAGAGGACTCCTTGGCTGAAGCTTCAGGTTGAGAATTTACTGATACCTGGGTAGTAATTCTAGCTGTCTTCTCTGTTAAGTGGGAATGATTAACTTCAGAACTACAAAATCCACAAGGAATGGCAAATTATGCTCCAAATTATGATAATCCCAAAGGACTTCTCCAAAGCTTAAAATCTAACAGAAAAAATCTCTGTGCACCCAGGTATTAATTTCCAGAAAACAACTAAAACAATGTAAATATTAGAGTCCATATATATTGAATCAAATATTAGCAATATTAAATTTTTTTCAAAAAAAACCACAGTAAGTGATCTCCAAAAATTCTATTGTAAACTAAACATCTCAGCAATGAAGGAAAGAAAATAAGTTTGATGAACAATTAGACACTATCAAATTTAAATGAGAAAATTGGTCTACAATCATGGTGAGGACCAAAGCTCATATATAAAACATCTTTAGATTGTTTTATCACGGTGGTAAAGGACCATGAAAAGAAATAACAAAATTAAGAACCTCATAAGCAAGAGACTATAGGGAATGATATGCAAATAATTGTGATGTGTCTTCTTCAAATTTTTCTATCAACTAACTCTGCAATATTTATTGCTCCCATTCTTCAATTAAGTTCTTTCACTCAATCCAGGAAATCTAATATAGCTGAATTGTCATAACTGTTCAAGTGAGACTCTTATTTCTTTTGGTCGTAGCATAGGCAAATAACACCAATTAATTCATAGTACTGCAGGTTAGCAAAGATAACCACACAGTCTTGTAAACAAATATTATCTGGATTCCAGGTGTATTAATTCTAGTTCCACCATTTAACACTCAACAGAAGCTGCCTTACCTCAACATACTAACATCTTTAGTTGACATGCCACTTTCTAGAAATGTGGTCTTGCTTTTATTTACTACTTCACAAAATGATTGCTTATTTCCAGCCAACTTTCCTGAACATGGTGTAACATCAGAAACAATGCCCTCCCTGATCATGATCATAAGTAACAGTCACATTCATTACAAGGAAGTAACAATCTAACTTGTGGCAAAATATCATTTATGCAGCTTGTAGAAAAGAGTGGCTATAAAGTAAGAAACTTCCAATTTTACAGAAGTCCAGGAACATATATATTACCTGGTATTGCTACTACGCTTAATATCATCTTTACTACCAAGCAATGCAGCCGCATCCCTCATTAGTTTGCTGGAATCTGTGAGGGAATCACCTACCAATTTGCTTCCAAGTCTTATGTCATTTGACCTGAAGTTCAAGTTGAGTGATAAATGAAACATTCTAGCATTCAAAAGCCACTAACTATAATTGTTATCAGAAGCATAACACACCGTGCTTGAGGGATGGTTCCCAGGGGCATGTCAGCATTTTTTTTATTGCCAAATGAAATACATTTTGTCCCCACTGTTGATGAAGTTTGTTTTAAAGACCTTTTGTCCTCTAGCTTGCTGAGTGTATTTGACTGCATATCTTGGAGTTTTTTATCTTTCATCGGCATCATTTTTTCAATTAAAGGTTTACTGCATCAAATGAGTGAAAATTGTGAAAAACAGTATACATCTATAGAAAATAAATTCATGTCTTAGCTACCTTACAGAATAGATTTCTCAGAAACTCTAATAATAGAAATAAACTAACATTAACATTCAAAAAGACATGATAATAAAAGGATAATAATAATTTGACCTGCTTGCTGGAGCCAGACAACAGTCTGAAGTTATTTTTTTGTTTTCTCTGCTGTCATTGTCACATGAAATCTTCTTCTGGGCTTCAGCTTTATTAATATTTTCACAACTTGTATACCTCTTTTCTGGCTGAGAGTCGTTAGTAATTCCTTCTTGGGTATTGCTACCTAGATTAATTGCTTCTCCAACACTGTTTTCTGACATAGTGATATGATGTGGGGAGGAATGCTCTAATTGTAAGTCTAGACTATCAGAATTCACATTTGTTGCGTTATCATTAACCTCTTGTCTATCACCCGAAACATTAATTACTCTTACTCCAGAAGAAAACATTTTTGTACACTCAGATGTTGCCTTATCGTTAACCTTTTGTTTATCTCCTGGAACATTAATTACTCTTGATCCGGATGAAAAAACCTCTGTGTGCTGGTCTGAGATAGTGTGCTGTTCTGAATCACTCTGACCTACTGACTGGGAACATGCCATATTGATAACCTGCTCAGATTTTGATTCTGTTAACTTTATATTCTGAGGTAAGTCTTTTTCTTGATCAACTTCTTCTGTACTTTCACATCTATTCATATCTAAAGTTTGATTCTCAATTGGCATGTCAAGATTCCCAGAGGATGAAATTTTTGAAACAGAACCATCCTGTTTGGCAACCATAGTCTCAACCTTCAAAGTTTCCAGCCTCTCTGACGCCTGAGATTTCATGACCATGCTATCATTAGAAGCATGAACATCTTCATCATCATTGGTTTTAAGCATTTTAGCACCTTCTTCATCACTTCCTTCCGTAGTTACTCCCTTTTTCCTTGGGTTACTGTTGGAAGTAGTATCCACGTTCATGAAGCTTGAATCAAGATTGAAGCTATCCAACCTGTGCCAACAAAAGGCACAAAGATGTAAAAATAGATTTATACCTTCAAATCACTCACATTGATGCTGGAGAAACCAAAAATAACATATCTGTGCATTAAATGATTATTTCTTTGAATATTTTTACCCACTTACTCATTAAAATCAAAGCAGAAATTAAACCCATCTTGTTTCCCTGCTTTTGCACCAGAAACATCTCCTTTTTTATCCTTAGACTGGGAATTCTTCTTTGGTGGGCATGTAAAATCAAGATCTGACATGTCCATCTTAAAAGATGATATCTTGTCGAACTCGCCATCCAGATTAAAATTAATGTCCCTACCAAAGATTATTTGTTAACACATCAAATTAGGAATCGAACTACAAACTCAAGTCAAAACTGCATTACACAAGCACATATGTATATCCTGATAATCTGTTCCTTAAATAAAATGCTCTTTCATATAAAACATCATAATCACTATAGATATGAAGAAAGATCAAAATAATGAACACTTCATTAATTATATCACCCTTCTCCAGTATAAGTTCCCAATATTTGAACCTGTCAAACTACAAACACTTTAAAACACAGAAGGATTGAGAATGAAGCCAATAACAGCACCCTTGCCATTCATATTATTAAACTTTGCATAACCTAAACTCTTTAACTTTAGGAAGACTTACAGTTTTTCAAAGTCAAATGTCTTCTTCTTGTTTTTAGAAATAGTGTCAAAGCTAAAGTCCATTGCATCGTCATCTGCCATTGACATGGATTTCCAGGGGCTGAGAAATTCCTTTCCAATTTCATCATCTGTTTGAATTGAAAAATGAAAAGAAATTGGTAATACTTACGTAATATCATTATTGTCACTTTTACCCAAGCACAAGAGAAGAAAAATAGAAAAAAATAAAAGAAAATGAAATATTTGGTTCTCCAATGGAGTAGGTGAGAATGCAATCTCACAAGTTTACAAAATTTGCAAGACATCTAAGAATCTTGCATCAATATTTAAAATTAAGGAATGCATGAATTAAGAAATAATTAGTACTGATTAATTATGGCGTGAAGGTCATGTTTCACAGTTTCAGAAATTATTTGATTATGCTGAATTCTCTGTTACTTTTTTATCTTATAATTTTGTGTTGGCTTGATTTCCCAAGGAAGTTGAAGATCTATAGTGAGATTTTCTGTAAGAGTATGTCATTTGGAGAAACCAATGTCTCCATTTCAATCCGAAATGACATCAAATTCAGGGCAGAATAAGGACTTCACCTAAAAGACTATAAATGAACTGAAATAAATCGCTATGTTTCCCTAACTTTTGTGAACCTTCAACACACTAATGCTAAAATAGTGCTGACCAGTAAATTCAATAACTAAATGTACTGTTATATGCAATCAATTCCAAGATTGCCCATTCCTTCCTCACATACTGTTACTAGTCTCCATAAAAAGAACTAGAAAGAATCTACTTGTACTGCTCACTACAATATTGAAGTAAAACACAATGTAGAGAAAAACCTAGCGATGATTTTTTCTCCTTTGCAGGCGAGGATTCCTTGTGCTGTTCTGCCATTCCTTAAGGTTGGCAATGTTTCTGATTCACACCTCAGCTAGGACAAATTTGCCATATTCAAATTAAAAAGTAGGGAACAAAAACACAAACAATAGTAGTCATTATCTATAATAGATGCTTTAATTTAAGAGTGAAAAAGAGAAGAAGAAAAAAATGTCAGATCAGTAAGACAAGTTCCTTGGCCACTCTGGTGACAAAATACAATAATAAGAAAAAGAATGGTATCACTATCAAGCATTTGCCGAAATATGCCATGAAAATACAATTAACGAAAATAAAAAAAAAATAAAAAAAAAAATAGAAAATTACAATAACAGATATCCTAGTGAACATATTTCAAACTTAGGAATGAGCTAAAACAAAAGGATTTTCAAGGAACCTGCATTTGAACCAATTTTGAACGTTTTAGATCACTCTTTTGGCTAATCCTCCTAAATCAGACACCGTTCGCCAATAGATTATAGTTTGTAATTATTTCCTAAAAGATATATAGCAACTGCATTTTGATATATCTACGATTGTTCCAATAACCGGCATTAGAATAAACGGAGGTATATCTACGACGGTTGCAGTATAGTTCGATAAAAGTAAAATGAAACCGGTCACGAATCAAGTATACTCGAATATATGAGTGTTCCAATAACCGAAATTAAATTAGTTGAACTTCATAGATAACAAATTTAACAAAAGTTGATGGCAATTGCAGCTGAGACACGCACAAAATTTTGAGATTCGCCTTCAAAACAGGAAAGAAATGCGCGACTTACAGATCCGAGAGAGCTTGTGAACTCGGCGGAAACGGAAACGGAAGCGTAAGATGAAGAAGTTGAGAGATAGCAGGGATTTACAATTTCTGCAACCGAATGGGAGTGAGTGATAGGATTTTTGTTTTATTACGATGAGAAAAGAGAGAAAATGAACATGGAAGCTTATTCGAATCAGCTTTAAGCACTAACGGTATCTAACTCCGAATTTCAAAAAGGCGGGTAACAAAGGAAATCGCTGTTGTAATTTTTATATGAGATTTTTTTTTCTTTTTGAAGGATTTGTATATGAGATTCCACCAACAAAAAATAATTGTAAATGAGTTAAAAATAACTATTCGCACTTGAAATAAAAATAATTTAAAAAATTTATCAATACTTTTGTGCTATTAATAAAAATGATACACATTTTTTTGTGTATATTTTTTTTAAGGGAAAAGACTTAATTCATTGCATTCATAATAATTGAAATAATACAGAGAAGAATAAAATCATAAAAGTGGGGACTAGCAAAAGATCTTGACATCCTGACTAAGGAGTGGGCGACACAATTGGCTTGTCTCTTGATAAACTTAACCTTAATAGTGTGTTTGGATGATGAATTTTACAAATTCAAGGAATTTTAAATTCTTGGTATTTGAATTACTTTGATTTCAATTTCTCATTCTTAAAATATTTTGTTTGGATGAGTCAATTCAAATTTCTTAAATTTTAAATTGTTAGGTTGAATATGATAATTTTATTCCACCATAGTAAAATTGATTTTAAAAATATATTTATATGTTGAGATTTTTAAATTAAATTTTATAAAAATAAATATTAATCCATTTTTAAATATTTAATAATTTAAAAATTAATATTTGATAATATTTAATAATTTTAAAAATTAATATAAGATAATATTTAATGGGAGTGATAAGTTGGTTTGGCGGCGAAGGGGGTGGTCCTGGGCTGGAGGAATAAGGATGGTCGGAGGTTCGAACACCCCTGTGACCCAACTAACATAACTTACTAATTACTAACATTTGCCGATCCAAAAAAAAAAAATTAATAATTTTAAAAATATTTTTGAATATCTAATAATTAAAAGAATGAAGAGATAATATATAAGTAAAATAAGAAAAATAAATATGAGAAATTTCAAATTCTCTCATTTTTGGGAGAATTTGAAATTCTACTATTTTAAGAAATTTCAAAAATGCTTAAATTTCAAATTCTTTATAAATTCTTCATCCAAACAAAGCATTTCACCTAAAAGAATTTGAAATTCCTCAAATAAATGAAGTACCTTATATAAATTCCTCATCCAAACACACCATGAGATTGTTGCGTGAGGTGAGTAGAAATCTACATTGTGCCAGAATGATACCATACTCCAAATGGTGAATAGAGGGGTCATTGAGGTTGTCAACAACTTGCTTGTAATTTGTTTCAACGTAGGCCGATTCATATGAGAGAGTTAGCAACCATTGAAGTGCTTCCAGGAGAGCAACAACTTCCGCTTAGTGTGGTGGGGATAGTCCTGATTGCCAACCTGTCTTTGTTGCCATAAAAGACCCATTGGAGTCTCGTATACACAATCTAAAACCAAAGGTGCCCGAATCCGTGAAAATTGCAGCATCCAAATTGCATGTATAGGATCCTGTTGGAGGTTTCACCCAACTGAACGAGATAGGAGGTGCTGAAACGGAATTGCATTTCCTTTGTGCGTACTGCCATGCATGATAGTGCTAGGTAGCCATTTGAATAGAGACACCCGGGGGGGTTAACTCATCATGCCAAACTTTATCATTCATGTGTTTCCATATGCACCATAACATAAGGACAAAAGAGATGATGTCCTGTTCTAGTAAGCAGCCCAAGAGTTCAAAAGTGGTTAATATAACCCCCCCTTGCTCCACTATTTGGCAATTTTTTTGCCACAAACCTGAATATATCCAAACATCCATTGCAGCTTGGCATCCATAGAAGATATGCCATTCATTTTCCTTATTGGTTTCGCAGTGGGCACATAGTGACATGCATGGGACTCCTTTTCTTTGCAACTGCATCCGCGTAGGGAGACAACCTCTTAGAATTCTCCATAGGAAGATTTGTATCGTATGAGGTACTTGTAGATGCCACAGCTTTAACCAATCTCCTGTTGCTCTTAAAGCAGACATAGAGGAAGAATTATCCATAATGTAGTGGTAAGCAAATTTGACTGAATAGCTACCTTTACGATTTAGATGCCAGGTTAGAGAATCAGGACGTGTCACATGAAGAAGAGGCATGGGTATGATAGATTGATAGTCTTGCATATTGAAAAGAGCATGGAGTTTATGTGTGTCCCATTGCTTTAGGTCTTGATTTATAAGATCAGCTACTTTAATATGTTCATTTCCCAAGATGACTGGAGATGAGATATAAGGATTGGAGGAACAACGTAGTCATGGGTCTCTCCAAATGTTAATGGAAGAACCATTACCAATACACCACCGCGCTCCTTGTTTGACTAATGCCTGTGAATATTCATGGATGCTTCTCAAAATGAAACTTGGGTTGTGACCCAATTGGGCCACCAAGAAATCCTCACTTGGAAAATTTCTAGCTTTGAAAACACGAGAAACTAAAGCATTAGGGTTGGTTTGGAGGTTCCAACCCTACTTACCAAGCATGGCCAAATTGGAGCTATGGAGGTGTAAAAAGCCCATACCACCATGTTCTTTCTGCATAATGAGTTTATCCCAACTGAGCCAGCAAATTCCACGGCCAGAGTGGTGATTGGAGCCCCACCAAAAAGAGTTTAGCATTCTCTAAATCTCTTCCTCTAAGCTGGTTGGAATGAGGAAAGTACTCATACAATAACTAGGGATAGCTTGGGCTACAAACTTAATCAAGGTCTCCCTACCTGCTTTTGAGAGGTGCTTACTCGTCCAATGGTGCACTCTTTTCCATATATGATCTTTCAGATAAGAGAAAATAGTGCATTTGTTGCGACCCACTATGGAAGGTAGTCCCAACTCCCAAGTACTTCCCCGTGCCCAAACATTTATGCATGCCTTTATGGATGCCTAGGATGGAGTTGATGGTAGTATGCATTACAATTGGAGTATTCATGTGTGTGTATTCTAATAATTGTTTTATCCTTTAATTTTAAAATATTTTTTATCTTGTATTTTTTATTTATTTTTTTTTTAATTTTTTATAAATTTATTTTTCAAACTTTTTTCACATTGTAAATAATTACTCAAAATCAATAAATTTACAACAATTAGAGATCAATCGGTACAAAATCAATTAATCAGTGATTTAGATATTGGATATCTAATTGTATTTTTTTACAATAAAATAATAAAATACTAAATTAAATCTTCATACATCTACTTTAATTCTCAATTATTTGATCGACTTTAATAGTTTATACATGTTAAACTCAAAAAAACGAAGTTTATCCCTCATAATACTTTTTTGGTTACAAAAACTAAAAGAAAAGAGAAGAGACACATAGTAAAAGGAACATATTAAATCCAAATAGATAAATTCTGAAAAAAAAATTTATCTTTATTCAAATAGAGTCTAGATAAATTATATAAGAGTTTAATAGAGTCTTACACCTTTTTTTATATATTTTTTTCAATAAAAAAATTAAATAAATCATCTCCTATATATTAAATGAACTATTATAAAAGAATTTTTTTTATTTTTTTATGAACTATTCTTCGGGATTTATGGAGATTCTTTTAAATTCTTAATTTGATTTTCATTTATCATAATTATTTATAAATTAAATTTTAATATTTTAAAATAAATTATCAATAAATAAAAATAATTTTTTATAATATAAATATAATATAAATTTAAAATATAATTTTTTTATAAGTTATAATTATATATAATAAAAAAATTAATGAAAAGTTAAAATACTAGCTATAATTATAATTTTATAATTTAATCTTTTTTACAATATTTTATAATTTAAATTTAAATACAAATAAAAAGTGTTTTAGTAGTTGACAATACTTCGTCCCCTTGATTTCTGAGGAATATAGTTCGCCGTCGCCCGAAGCTGTTGCCCCTCGTAAAGTGTCTGTTGTCTGTCATCTCGCCTCGTTAGGTTAGTTCATCTCTGTCAATTTCGCTTTGTTTTTCTTCAATCACAATTATCCTCCGAAGGAATCTTTTCTGTTAGAGTCCGCCATCGAGAACTGTAGGTTTTTTTTTTCTTCAATTGAGTTCTTGGATCTTCTTCAAATACAATAGCCTTTACCAATTTTCGTTATCTATCGCCATTTCTGTTCCTGTACTCATGCGTTGAGATTTTATTTTATGTTTTACTATTATTGTGACCGTCTTTTCTTTCATTTTTTCCTTTTCCATTATGTCATCAATAGTGTTACTAATTTCCATTGCTTCCCAGTTCCCACTCGATAATTATTGATTTTATTTTAGTGACATGCCAATTTGATGCTTCTAAGAGGGATAGTTCTCGTGCAAAAATTATGTAAACATGATTAGCATATGCATATTGAAAAGGATCATCTTTTTCTTCTCGTAAATATGTTGATTGTGCTGCATTACGTTAATGGAAGCTCAAATTGTGTGTGTGTGTGTGTGTGTGTGTTAGTTCATCGAACTCACTGCATTGAGTGGATTTGGTCCAAATGGACGGGCAACATCAGAAGCAAAAAAACAAGTACAGTATAATTGTTCCTACATATAATGAGCGTCTCAACATTGGTCTCATTGTTTACCTCATCTTCAAGCACCTTGGGTAATTTCTCCATCTTATCATTATATCTACTCCCTTGTAATTGTTTTTTTTTTCTTCTTCTGTATCTGAATGGATATAATTTATAAGCTGAGATCTTAATTGCTTATTTAATGATTTTGGGCCATATATGTAAGCCTGTGCTTATGTGTATAATGTAACAGATAGTTACCTACTTGTAATTATGGCTTCTATTTCAATTTTTCAAGTTTCAACCAAAAGTACCAAAAGAATTTTAGTAGAAAAATGCCGTTTTATTCTGGCAAAAATTTTACATAGCTCTCTCATATTCTATCTCTATATGGAATCACTCATCTCTATGAATATTTCTTTTTGTTGCTCAATTTAGGGATGTTGATTTTGAAATTATTGTTGTTGACGATGGGAGTCCCGATGGTACTCAGGATGTTGTAAAACAGCTGCAGCAAGTTTATGGAGAAGATCGAATTGTAAGCAGTGACATTTACAAATTGAATTTTCATTTAGACACAACTAGTCATCCTTGATCCATTCTATTTTTTTTTGGGGTCTATCTCACCCCCTTCATATCATTTATAGAATAACCATGCTTATTCCTGTGGTTGCAGCTGTTAAGAGCACGACCTAGGAAGCTGGGTTTAGGTATGTTCCTGATACTTGTACTAAATGATTTTGATAAATTAGCCTTTGATACAATTAATCTGCAGGAACTGCTTATATTCATGGCATGAAGCATGCATCTGGAAATTTTGTTGTCATCATGGATGCTGATCTATCACACCATGTAAGTTATACCGTCACATGTAGAGGATAGTTTAATTTATGAGGAATGATTAAGAGCCTGTTTGTTTTACAATAAAATTGTGATTCACTGTTTATCACACTTTCCAATGCAAAATTACACAGCCAGAGGCAATTTTTTTCAGAGGAAAATTTTCGGGCCTATTTGTTTTACACCAGGAATTAACTCCTCACTCTGAACATGATTTTCATGTAAAATTAGTGGCTGAGATCGACTTCGATACATATCCCAATTATGTTCAACTGTTCAAAGCCTAGTATACCAAACATTAAAACAAACAAACAGGCATTCCATCTGCCACAGAATTCTGTTTCCATCCATATACAAACAGGATGTAAATTTGAATGGGATTAAAACAACTAAGAAGAGTTGGATGAACTTCTTTTCAGTTTTTCAGCTTAAAAAGTTTATTATCTGCAGAATGATATTTTCTTTCTTAATTGTTTTTGACTAATCTATTTAGTTTTTCTGCAGCCTAAATATTTGCCAAGCTTCATTAGGTAAGAAAAGTTTTGAATAATTTCTTTCTTGATTTATTGTTACCTGCATGCCAGGATTTAACCATTCCATTTTGCGTTTCAGAAAGCAGTTGGAAACTGGTGCTGACATAGTTACAGGGACTCGTTATGTTAAAGGTGGTGGTGTGCATGGATGGAATCTTATGCGCAAACTTACTAGCAGGGGAGCAAATGTTCTTGCACAAACACTTTTATGGCCTGGTGTCTCAGATTTGACAGGATCTTTTAGGTATCAAACTTGATAATTGGTGTTGGTAATTTCATGAGTGTTGGTTGCTCTTCCCCATTCCCTGGTTTGAGAGTGATTTATTGTGGTTCTATGTAGACTTTATAGAAAATCAGTCCTTGAAGATATCATTAGTTGCTGTGTTAGTAAGGGATATGTCTTTCAAATGGAGATGATAGTACGGGCATCCAGAAAAGGATACCATATTGAAGAGGTACTGTGGCTTAATTCATAATGCTTATAATTAATATTAACCTGATTATGTTGACTTTATAGATCTTGAGTTAGATATGTAATAGCATTGATCATTTCACTATGTGCTTTACATTTGTACATGTTTTGACTCTTGATATAACTAGCATAATTACTTTTCATATTCAACTTCTTATTCTTAAAACATGTCAATTGAACAATGAAACATGTCTTTTTTTAACTGTACGAGTTATAATTGGTTACAGCTTACAGATGTTTGTTTGTGAATCCTATAGCTAAATGTTTTCAAATGCATTTACACCCTAGTCATGTGGCTTTTGTTGGCCTTGTAAGTGAATTCAATAATGGATGATGATATATACATGGGCTTTGTATATGAATTTAAGCTGTTTTAGTGCTTTGTTATATGACTATTTTGTCAAAATCAAAATACCTAATTATGTAGGCTGTGGTCTTCCGTAGATCTATGAATAATTCAATAGATTGAGCTTATTGTGTGACATATAAACTAATTATAAAAGATGCGTTTGATACTAGCATTGCAAATTTGAGTGTCAAGCATACTCGTACAGTCCTTTGCTTTGTATACTGCTTGAAATGGTAACTGGCTAAACAGTGGAATTGTGATTGCCCCTATTTCTTTCTATTGTTGAATCTTATTTTTCTTGAATTGTAATATTTGCTTGTCATTGGCCACATGCATGACTGCTAGTTGATTACAGGAAATTTCTATGCATTTAAGATAAAAATACCATGTACTGAACTTTAATATTTGAATCTATATACTCATTTTTTCCATGAGGGAAATTCGAATGCTCGTTAGTTACGTTATGTGTTTTTATAATGTGCTTCAGCAATTTAGCCTTTTCCCCTCTCCTATTTGTTTGCTATACCTTCATCACCTTCCCAAATACTTGAGGAGTAGATGGCTTAGAATTCTTAATATAATTATGTTGTTCAACGCTTTTCATTCTGCTCGTTATCCACTTCATAGCTGACTTAAAGTTCAAATGTGTACAGGTTCCAATCACATTTGTCGATAGAGTATTTGGAAGTTCAAAGCTTGGTGGATCAGAGATTGTTGAATACCTGAAAGGCCTAGCATATCTTTTGGTGACTACATAAAAAAGATAAAACATAACAACACAGATATATGTCTTACATTTTGGGGAAAAGAAACTAGAGATAAATTTTGTTGTTCAATTACCTATTTATTTAGGACACTATAACTTGCATTTTGAATTTAACAGGAAGCATCGGTATGGTTCTGTGTTTATAACTGTAAACCGAGAAAATTAATTGTTTTGATTTTGCTGAACTTTTGAGTTATGTTGAGGTCTTCTTTCTAGTTTTGTGTTTTGTCCCTTCTAGTCGCCAAGACGCCAACCAATACTTTGACCCTTCTTAGATGGAAATACAACTATCCTATATTGGATCTATCTCTCTCTCTCTCACACTCAGAGGCAATGGTTTGGTACCTTTTGCTGCAATCCGCTCTAAATGCCTACTCTCCATGAATATTACTGGTGCAAATAATGATTTATTTATTAATTAGTTATTCAATATATTCTGTTATAAACTACTGGAAATACTTAATGGTGGCATGTTCCAGTAAAGGTAAGAGTAAACTTGATAGTAGATTAACTTTACCTATAAGAACTTCTTAGAAGACCATGATTCATAAAATTCCAATTTAACTTGCATTAATCTACTCAATTATTTAATTTTGTAATTAATTTATTAAATTATTTATAATAAAATTAAGGTATTAATGTGGTTTAGCTTAGTTGGTTGCAAGGTTGTCAAATTCTCAAATTAACTATTAAACTTTTTCGAGTTTACCATTTTAAGTAGAGAAAATGAGTTAATTTTATAGTAAACTCATTTTTGAATACTTGTTTAAATTTGTGTAAACTCTTATAAATTCTCAAGTCAAAAAGCGAGTTTAACGAGTTTGAAAACAAATGTAATTTTTCTCTTATTAATGTCATAATGTTAGTATTTTATTATGACTCAAATGATTTGGAGGAATCAAATTCTTTTTGAAATAATATAAATCTAGAAATTATGTTTTTATGAAATTATATGTAATTTGATCATTCATTTAACTTAATTCTATTCAATACTAATGTACTATAACAATTTATTATTGTAATTTAATACTTTTGTCTTTTTTATGGAATTGAAATGTTAAATTATTGTTATATTAAGTGTATTTCCTTATGCATGTATGTTATTAATATTATTTTTATAATAAGTAATTTTTAACGAATTTACAGTTAAATTTATGAGTGAAATTCACATAAGTTTTACAAGTTTATATAATATATCAAGTTTGACAATCTTTATTGTTTGAGTAGAGTGTGTGGACTATAAAAAAGTAATCATATAATTAGTTAATAAGTTTATGTTTATAAGAATCTAATAGGACTCTTTATAAAGTAATTGTCAAATATAATTTTTTGAATAATTAGTATACAAGTTTGGCCTTAATTGTCTTAAAAGATGATTATTTACATAAGGTTGAAGATAAACAAAGAATAAAAGTAAGATAGACAAATGTAGTTTTATTCATTCTTTCGAAATGCATGATTCGTTAAATCCTAATTTAATTGTTGTCAATCAACTTATTCTTTAATTTAAATATTAATTTATTAAAATATTTGAATAAAGGTTTCTAAACCCAATTCCTAAACAAATGAAAAGACTGTTTTTCTAAACCCAACTTGTATTTTTTTTTAATTTGAATCTGTGATTTCTAATTTAGCAAGTGGCAGTATTTCCATCATGTCAAGATTTGCTATCGATTAAAATATTGAAGTTAGTCATGCGAAGCAACCTTTCCATTACATCAATTTAATTTTTACTAATACGAATTTTTATGTATATAGTTTTTATCACATGAAATATCATCTATTTTTGTTGAGGAAATCGTCGATTGAATTTCAAAATCAAGATTTTGTTACGTTTGACAAATTTTGAAGACTGAGATGATGAATTCTATTATAGAACACCTTTACAGTGGATAAAGGTGGTGTACAGGGCACCATTTTTATTAAACGTTACATCTATCTTATTTTTATAATAATATGATGCATTCTTAAATCACTACAGTTGACTTAGGAATAGATGGCAGGAGTAGTATACATGGAGTCTTATATTCAAATTCTAAAATTATTATTATTATCATTATTTTGATGAACAAAAATATAATTAATTTAGTTAATAATAATAATAAACTGATCTTATTTAACCATATTTTTTTTCTTCTAAAATTAATCTTGTATTTTTTTTTCTAAAACTAATCTTATACTAATCGTATTCCTAATTAATACTCTCATGTGTATGTCTTGTATTATTTATTTCTCTTAATTAATATTTATCTTTTTTTAAACAATTAAAATACATATTTTTAAAAATTTTATTATTAATATATTTTATCAAATTAAAATAACATATTTTAATAAAAAAATATTTTAATTTAAAATAATTAATATAAAATAATAAAAATTAAGTTTTATATAAAACAACAAACAATTGTTATAAGTCAATTCTTATAAATATACAAGGATATTATTATATTTTCTTTCTTTCTTTGTTCCGATAGATTTGTACTCACGTATTTTTTAAGTATCAAACTTGCAAATCAAAATAGACCTAAAGAAGCGTATAAGAAGAAGAGGGAAGAGAGACAACAAAAGAGAAGAAAAAAAGAATAACAATAATTCGTCATCATACTTATTGTCGTACACATTAACATAACTCAAAAAGAACAATAAAAAAGACACTATAGAAACAATCACTAATTATTCACTATCATCTCTTGTAATACTAATTTGTGTGATGGAATCATTGTAAATAATCATGATAGATTCGATAAAAATTTATTGAACTTTATAACTATTTCTTCAAGTATTTCAATTCATTGAGTTGACATTAAAAAAATATTCTATTTATAAAAAAGTAAATTAAAATAATTATCTTATATAAAAGCTTTTTAACCGGAGTTTTTATGAACTTTTCTTTAATAAATATTATTTTTTAATCTTTTATTTTTTCAATTTAATTTTAAAAAAAAATCAATCATTAAAAGTTACTTTATATATCCATAGTAGAAAAAGAGAGATTATATACAATTTATATAAATTTAAATATAATTTATATATTCAAATATAATATTTATATATAATTTATTACAAAAAAAATTAATTATATAATAAACATATTTATACATTCTAAATACTAAAGCGCTAATTATTAAGAATTTCTCTTTATATATTGATACAAATAATATAATTTATTTATTATAAATCTAAAATAATAACTTATTCTAGACACATCCACATCATCCATGTTAAAATATTAGTTTTAATAAAATCAAAAAATAAATAGAAATATCTTTTGACAAATAAAAAAAACAAAAGTAACATATTTAATAATTTAAAATTAGTTTTATTCGAATAGAGAAATGTTATGATTTTTAACGAGCAAACGGTTCCACACCATCTTTCCGAAACACGACAAAAGCAAGATATGAGCAGAGGAGAGAGGAGAAAGAGATTCTGACGACCGAAATAGTGACTGAGATCCTTCTTCTTGTTGTGGAAGAAGACGCACACGAATGAAAATAATGGCCTCCACGTTGGGAACTTCCTCATTTGCTCTTCTCCCTTCACGACATCACTCTTCCCTTCCCACTAACTCTCTCTCTCAAACCGCAGGTACATCGCAACCTTTGATTTGGGGTATAATGGTTCTGAAATGAATGATTCCTTGTGTTGTGTGTTGTGTCTTTGCAGTGCAGCTATTTGGGCCCAAGTTTTGCGGAGGAATTGGATTTCACGCCGTCAAGGGAAGTTCTCTCTTCCCTGTTGCCAGTGTTGCCACCCATGTTAATTCTGCACAACAGGTATCTATGGATGTTCATATTCCGTTCTAAAGTCAGAATTTTTCCCACCTTTTTGGCCTTTGCCAACATTTTGCAAAGCATGGATTTTTATTTTTATTTTTAACCATGATATTGATAAGAAATATCAACCTATAAAAACAGTGACTATCGAGATCATGGGCATACACATGTCCCAAAATAGTATATTTCACACTCAGTCAGGATTTAAACCCTGAAAATGATTGTTAAGCAACATAAACTGTTACTACTTACACTAACTAATGTTGGTTGCAAAGCATAAATTGAGGACATGATTTTTGGACCATATATAGAGATGTTTTGTTTCTTAGTTTCTATTGGATTTGCACGTACAGGGTGTGATTGGATGGGGATGAAATGTCAAGGAAAGGTTAGGGCTTATATTGTGTTCAAATACCTTGAAAAACCCTCGTAGGTTTAGGTTTTACTCGCCAATTTTGTTCTCGTCATTCTTAACCTTAGTAATACCGAACAAAATGAATTTAGTTAAGATGCAGTGTTAATATAAAAGTTTTTTTATACTCATTCAATCGGGGATTTTTATGTATGGCAAGATTGTCGACTTTTGTAATATTTTAAAATTCATATCTAATTAATTGACGATGTAAACATCTTTAACACTAACATTGTATCAAAATTGAACTCATGACAAGAGGTTGGGTCCGACAGAAGAAGCTAGTTTTGACAATGTAGCGAACCAAAGTTTGAATCTTTGTTAAGAGTGGTATGGACATTTAATGTTTGATGTGCCTCAAATATAATTGCTTTTGAAGGAGGATAGAGAAAATAAAAAATTGATTTCATAAAATTTTGACCTCTTAACCTCTTTTTTGTTTCCTATTTTGATGACATCATTGACATCTCCACTCTGTAAACTTAATACAGGCTCAGAAGATTGCTTTTAACGAGAGCCAGAGGCCGGTGTATCCATTTTCTGCTATTGTTGGACAGGATGAGATGAAGCTTTGCCTTCTCCTAAATGTGATTGATCCTAAGATTGGAGGTGTGATGATCATGGGGGATAGGGGAACAGGGAAATCTACAACTGTTAGGTCATTGGTTGATTTGCTTCCCGAAATCAAGGTTGTTGCTGGTGACCCATATAACTCAGATCCAGAAGATCCAGAATTCATGGGTGTTGAAGTGAGAGAGCGCGTGTTGAAAGGAGAGCAGCTTCAGGTTGTCTTCACCAAAATTAACATGGTGGATTTGCCATTGGGAGCTACAGAAGATAGAGTGTGTGGGACAATTGACATTGAAAAGGCCCTCACTGAGGGTGTAAAGGCATTTGAGCCAGGTCTACTGGCTAAAGCTAATAGGGGAATTCTATATGTTGATGAGGTTAATCTTTTGGATGATCACTTAGTTGATGTCTTATTGGATTCTGCTGCATCAGGTTGGAACACGGTTGAGAGAGAGGGTATTTCAATATCACATCCTGCTAGATTTATCCTAATTGGATCAGGCAACCCTGAAGAAGGGGAACTCAGGCCACAGCTGCTGGATAGGTTTGGAATGCATGCTCAAGTAGGCACTGTGAGGGATGCTGAGCTAAGAGTGAGGATTGTGGAGGAGAGAGCTCGTTTTGATAAGGACCCGAAGAAATTCCGATATTCTTACAAGGCAGAACAGGAAAAGCTTCAGCAACAGATTGCCTCAGCGAGGAGTTTTCTTCCTTCTGTTCAAATTGATCATGACCTCAAGGTAAAAATCTCCAAAGTTTGCGCAGAGTTGAATGTGGATGGATTAAGAGGAGACATAGTAACAAACAGAGCTGCAAAAGGTCTTGCTGCCCTCAAGGGAAGAGACAAAGTAAGTGCAGATGATATTGCCACTGTCATCCCTAACTGCTTGAGGCACCGTCTTCGAAAGGATCCCTTGGAGTCCATAGACTCGGGTTTACTTGTCATTGAGAAATTTTATGAAGTTTTCACCTGAACATGGTCTATACTGTTTTTTCTAGTATTCATTCAACATTTTACCACTGCATCTTTTACATTTTTGCCTTTTTCTGTGGAGATTTTATTGTCCTTGAAATTTTAACATGAGGAAGATTCAGAAATCCCGTGTACAAATGAAATTCCAGGCCTTTTGTGTAATAAGTTTCAGGATGACAGGATCTATGGCTTTTTCTGAATCTGTAATCTAGTAGAGTAAGAGAGGTGCTTCCCATGAATTTCTAAATCAACTTGGTGATTAGCTAGGGAAATCATGTCAGCTTGAGAGCCCTCGGAGAGATATGGACATTCAAAAATAAAATTTTGTTCCTTTATTAGCTCTGAAAAAAAAAGTATTTCTTTGCTAAAATATTACCAGTTTTGAATGGAATGATTTGCCCATTCATATAAATTATCTGACAAGATAATTTTTGCATCTTAATTCTGCCAACTGTGCCGTATAAGATTACCGGAATTGTAGACACAATTCTTTTCTACTAAAATCACAATGAACTTGTATTTGATCCTGCGTCTTCCCAGGCACATTTCAACAAAATTTACGTCCAATTTCACAAATAATGCAGAAACAACTAATAGTTGTTTCAAAGGTGACCCGCGTCTAGGGTTACCGACGTCCATCTAAACATGGAATAGATGAAAAGACTGAAAATTATTTATGTTAGAGCCCTGCAACACGAAATAATTTTGAGGACAATCAAACTGACCCAACGAGCTGAGATAAAACAAGCTACTAGTCAGCAAATGCTTCTAAGACTAGTTGACACTGATTCAGTGTTTACAACTCTCAACTTTATGATGGCATTCAGTAAGCAGGAATGTGAATTCCAAGTGATGGACCCTTTTCCTTTCTATAAGTAAATATAAACCATTCGTTAGGAACCCAAATTTTAAAAATTAGAATAAAAAAAAAAAAGAAGATTGTATTTGTTGACTGCAAAGGAACAAAGAATAGGAGGGGTAACTCCCCTCCAAGAGTTTTCTCTTCACAAAGAGAAAATGCTCGATCTACAAATGAACGGATATATATATGAATTCCCTCCCCTTCAGTCTTCTTATTCTTATTTATTTATTTATGTCTCTGACTCACTAATATTCTAACTATCTTCCCCTTCCCAAAGTCCCAAGACAATTGCTATGGATTCTATAATTCTAGACGTAGTGAATATTTTGCACGATGAAGAACAAATATCAAGGATAAAATACAATAAATAATGAGCTCAACGCATTACAGTATCTTTGGATACTTCTTGTGGAATCTTGAATTCAGGATTCTGCTCAACGAAAGCTGGTGGCCTTTTGTACACAACAGACGCAGCCCTAATTAAGATGCTAGCAGTTAAACCCCATATGAGGTATTTTTTATTCCCGATGCCATAGTCAAAGAAATGCACCAAAAACTTCTCTCCCATCCACTCCCTCTCCTCCTCTCTTCGATTTTCATCCTGGTTAAAGTATTGATATCAGACAAGAGATATTAAGAATGAAGAACACACAAAAATCAAAATAAAAGTAAGCATGGACCTTGAGAAACATTTCCAAAGGTGCATCAAATACTGCTTCCACTTCACCTGGTTCTAGAACAGGTTTGAATGCTTTCTTGTCATGAAGTATGCCAATGACTGGAACTACTCTTAGGAAGTGCTGCAAATCAAACAGTGATAGATTTCAAGTACTGGAGTGAAATTTCCCATTCAACCCTTTATTATATGAAGCTGATGTGAAATAGACTAACAAAAAGGTGTCCAAATTATATAACATCTGGGAGTCTAAACATCAACATCAGCATAATGAGATGGCAGACTTGGCTAGAGTTTATTTTTTCATTTCTAGAAATGTTTACAGTTTTCAATCTGTGGTGATTATCCATCAAATAAATTTCCAATCATTTCCTCTATTGACCAATCATATACCAATTATTGCTAATAACTTAATAAGATCTTATTTCCATGCAATGTTTGCCAAGGAAAATATTATTACATTATTCAAACTTTTCAACATTTAGTAATGCTGTTATTATCATGTTTACAGTGGCACTCTAATAGGTAACATATACACTTATATTCCTGCTTACCCTGAACATAAATAATCTGTACTGTTAGTTTATGTGTATAAAATCCTTTTTCTTATCAAACTATCATCAAAGATAATAAAGAATAAGAAGTTTGGAACTAAGATAATAAAGAGCCCTAAGCCATTTTGTTTTAGCATTTGCTTAGATGCTGTGGACTCATTGGAAATTTTTCCCAGTTCAATGATCTGCAATGATAAATGACTTTCTCATAATTAGTGGCACTCTTCATTTTAGTGATTCTCTTCAATGGGGAACAAAGGACAAAACGAATCATTCAATGCAACATTTCTTAGTTCTTACATTCATAAATATATACAGTGAAGAAAGCTAATCAGTTTGCCCTTATTAGATGCAAATCCCTAAACACAACTCTGGGTTATAGCCCTTAAATTGTTAACAGATGATTTTTATATGATGAGTTGGGTCAAACCCATTCCCCACCACATTATGTTATACAGATATGTATAGTTAATGGAACAATTAGCACCCAGGATAACAACCACAAATTATTAACAGTATCCTTAGTACCTCAACTGCGTTTCATTTTTGTGGATAGTGAATTTCAGTTTATTCAAAATGTAGAAGAAATACACCGGTAGTTCCTCTGTACCTATATATAAGTAAAAATAACTAATTTCTCACAGATTAAGAAAGTTCATTAAATGTATATAATTTTCACAATTTCACATAAAATACATATTATATTTTCTAAAATATCTTTAACCACATTTATCATAGATAGTGTTCTCATTTATTATCATAGAAGTATTTTTGAATTGAGAACATTAAATAAGGTTGACATAATTGAAATTTGCTTATATTTCAGTCCAAAAAATTTAAACATTTTTTGCTTATATATAGGCCCTGAGAGTATATGGTAATACTAACATTCATTTAATCCTCCATGTCTGATCTTCTCACAGCGTACATCATCTAATGGCCACTTCCTTATTCCTCCATTATATTACAGGAAGAATGCTTCAAAAATAAATTATACAATTTGAGTTTCACAGGCCACCCAAAATCAACATCTTCCAGCACAGAAGCACTTCATGAAGCAACCATCATGGAAATAATCTTTTGCAAATTGAACATCAAAATTCCTAATCACAAATAACTGCTGCACACTCAATTTTGCTTTCACCCCCACAAGCAGGTCAGTTCAGATATCCATCTAAAAGTTAGTGAAAGGTATCAAATAGAACACGTACCTTAGACAAGAATGGCTCAAGAACAGTAACAACATTGACAAGTTCCGGGTCCAACCCAATTTCCTCCTGTGCCTCTCTTTTTGCAGTGTCCCCATCATCCTTATCCCCCTCCTCCGCTTTCCCACCAGGCAATGCCACCTCACCTGCAAAAACACACACAATTCTCTCTTAACCCCCACACCGAAATTTCAATTTTTTTTTTTTTTTTAAAAAAAAGCAACTTTTTTCAACATCATGAAAAGTAAAAAGACAGAAACTCAGTCGATAACACAAATTACAAAATTTGCAACATTTGAAGCCAGTTAGAGAGTGGACTGACCCGGGTGAGTAGAGAGCTTGGAGGAGCGCTTAGTGAGAATGACCCTTAGATCCCCATCATCCCCTTCGAAGAGGCAGATCAAAACACCAGCTCTGTTAGGTCTGAATTTTTCAGAGCTTTGGCCAATTGGGGTGGCTGATTCTGGAAAACCCACCTGGGAAACAACCTTGCCATCACTTTCCTCAATGCTCTGCTCCACAGTATCTTCAGGGAAAGACGGTGCCTTGTACTGGCGAAGGTGCTGCACCAACGCCAAGAGCCTCTGAGATCCTCCGATGCTAGAAGAATTGGAATCCATGAATTGGGATATAGATGATTTGGGCATTAAGGATCTTATAGTTGACACTGTTCTCAGAATTGGAACCATGTGCGTGTGTCAGTAAAAAAACCACCACCAACCCAACCTGCGGTAATTCTACCGTCTCTTAAACTATATATGTATTATTCTTCTTTTTAACAAATTAGTTAATTTGTTAAGTTACACAGGAATTTTTTATTATATATAATACTGCAATAAATTAAGGTTTAAATATTTACTAGTCAAATAATTTTATGAAATCTATCTATGTTATTTTATATATTTAAAAATAAAAAAAATTGTTTTAGTTTCTTTAATTTCATAAATAATATGTGTAAGAATTAAAAATTGTTTTAATTATGTAAATTAAAAAGTAAAATTATGAAACTACATGAATAAATAATATTTAAACCATAAATCAATTACAGTAAAAAAAAACCATAAATTAATAACATGTTTGTTGTACATATCGACGTCATCTTATTTATTGTAGTATTTACGAAGCACAACAACCGTTTAAGTGGTTGTTAAGTTTATTTTTGAGGGAGGAAATTATTTTTTTAATTAAAATCGACATTGACTTGAAAATGTCGTTTGCGGGTAGTATTAAAGATATTAGTTTAAATGAATTGTACGTTAACTTTTTTTTAATATATATATAGAGAGACAGAGAGAAGGATTATAATAATATTAGTGTAACTTTATTAAATATTATACTATTCAATAATTTTATATTAAATGTGAATTTTGTAAATCTAATCGTTAGATTGAAAGTTCATATCTCTTAAATCATATATACGAAATTTTATATTAATCCAAGATGATTTGATACTTCATTCTTATAAAACAAAATTGACGTAATATATACATTTCAAAATATACTAAAATATTGAACGGTGTAATACTTAGTAAAAATTATATCGTTATTATTATAACTCTCCTTATATATATCAATAACTCATATTTTACATCAAATTTCAATGATCCAATTGTTCAATTTAAAGTTCTTAATGCATAGATTAAATCTGCAAAATTTTAGAAAATTTGAAAATTATTTGATACTTTGTTTCATTAATTCAAATTGACAGATAATCATAAAATCATTTTATACATTGATTTTATGATTATCCGTCAATTTGAATTAATTAAACGAAGTATCAAATGATTTTCAAATTTTCTAAAACTTTGCAGATTTGATCTATGTATTAAGAATGTGAGACCCTTTTTCTCTTTTCCTTTTTCTCTCCCCGACACTCCCCTCTCACCCATTCTCTTCCCACTCTTTCTTTCTTACTCACTTGGCTGATTCTTCTCTTCCCTGGACTGAAGGTGGTGATTCAAGTTAGGTAGAGCTAGCTGATCTGTGTGGAGATTTCTTCCCTCAAGTTTCTTCTTCATCTTCTATTCTCGTTCTTTTCCCGAAGCTCGGAATCTTCTACCAAGGTAAGGGAAGCTAGTTTCTTCGCTGTTTTTGGATGTCATTTAGTTCAAGTAACTCAATAGTTGTTGAAGAAATTGATTATTGGCTGTGATTGAAGGAAGTTTTCGTTTTCGGGTTTCCGGGGTTTGGGTGAAAATCTTGGGGATTTCACTTGTTGACGGTTGCATGTTGGAAATGAAGTGTTTTTCTTAATACTTGATGAAAATGCTGGGTTTTGGAAGGTTTGCATGTTGGTTTCCTGGTGTTTTTCGCAGGTTTTGATGAAATTTTCGAAGTAGGTGAGGGTTCCTGTTTGAATTTGCGCCAGGCTCAGTTCTTCGCGTCAGGCGCGATTTGAAAATGGGGAATCACTGGGTGAATCCCGCCGGGCTTGGGGAGAATCGAGCCGGGCGCAATAGACCTCTGTAGGTCTCTGGTTGAGAATTGCGCCGGGCTCTATTTTATTGAGCCGGGCGTGCGTTTTATTTTCAGAATTTGACTTTATAGTCTGCATAAAAGTTGTAGCCTTGGATGTTAGCTTTCCAATGGCGCTGGAATCACTCAAAAAGGAGTTTTAGAACTCTAGATATGGCTGTTTTAGTGAAGAGGGGTCGAGCTGCTAACTTTGTTTATAGCTGTTGCGGTTTTTATCATTTTTAACATGGTAGATGAAGGAATTAGGACTTGGTGTCTTCATGAGAGTTGTAGGAAATCTTCTTATCTTTCATATGAGATAAGGATGAGTATGGTAGGAGTAGTATAACTCCTGATGCGTTGTTTTATGTGAAGGTTGCCTTTTCACATTTAGTGATTGGGTTAAGTTGAAAGTTGTTTTAGGTGCTTAGGTTGATTGGTGTTGTTTGTGTGGGTAATTTGACAAGATAGATGAGTTGTAAACAAGGTGGATGAGCCGTACTATGTGTAGAATATGTTGTATGTTGTATATGCTGCTAATGATGTAATGCCACGCTGTAATAGATATATATATTGTCGTGCTGAGCTGGGCTGTCATGAATGATTTTCATGTTGAATTAAAATATTGTTGTATTATAGATTGTTGAGCTGAGTTGTGAGTAGTAAGCTGCGTTGTATACTACCTAGCTGTGCTGGATGGTGATATTGATGTGCTACGCTGAGCGCGACCCTTGTCGCGCTGGGTGTGAGACTCCTTGGGAGTCTCTGCCTTGTGGGCGCTGGGCGCAATTGGTATTGCGCCAGGCGCGAGTGAGCCTTGGGCTCTCTGGCTGGGTCCCGCCGGGCTCGGGCATGCTTGCGCCGGGCGCGGTGGCCCCTGGTGCCCTTTGGTTGAACTGCGCTGGGCGCAACCGTGAGTGCGTCGGGCGCATAGATGATAATTGTCCCACGAATGTTAAAAATACGAACGAATAAATGATAAGTTGGAAAAAGAAGATAAAGAATAAAATAAAATAAATTTTGTGTCAACATAGTGTCGGCTTAACCGACAATAAAAAATTAAAATAAATAAATTTATTAGTGACGACTTAGCCAACACAAAAAAAATTGTGTTGACTTATTTAGCGTCGACCAAAAACTGACGAATAACCGACAATATTACGTTGATTTTTATGATTTAGAGTCAGCTTTTAGCCAACTCCAAATCGAAACATTCTTGTAGTGATATAATTTTAATATTGATTTTAAATAAGATTTAACAAGATATATTATGTTATTATATTTTATATCTACACTTTTTAACAATATATTAACATATATCATTTTAATAATATAAATAAAAGTAATTTTTAATAACAAATATTGTATCACTATAAAATGTAATACTGCATAATAATTTTTTTTTGACATATAATTACATACATTATAAGAAAACGATGAATAAGCGGCGAAAATAAGCATTGATTAATAGCTGACACAAATAGTGTCGGAAAAGCTGTCACTCTTTTAAGAAGTAGCGTCGGCTTTTCCGACGCTAAACTTAAAATAAATTTAAATTAAATATTTTAAGTTTAACGTCGAAAAAGCTGACTCTATTATTTAAATATAGAATTGGCTTTTTTGACGCTAAAGTTAAAATATTTAATTTAAATTTATTTTAAGTTTAGCGTCAGAAAAGTCGGCGCTATTCTTTAAAGAATAGCGTCGGCTTTTCCGATACTAAACTTAATTTAAATTTAATGTCGAAAAAGTCGACGCTACATCTTAAAATAGCGTCAGCTTTTCCGACAGTATATGTGCTTTGAGAGAGATAAAGATCATTTTTTCAATGTTATATACGCATAATGTGTTCTAATACACTTGGTTATCAAGTTCACTTAAGACCTCAATGTTCACGGATCGAGTCCCACGAATGTTAAAAATACGAACGAATAAATGATAAGTTGGAAAAAGAAGATAAAGAATAAAATAAAATAAATTTTGTGTCAACATAGTGTCGGCTTAACCGACAATAAAAAATTAAAATAAATAAATTTATTAGTGACGACTTAGCCAACACAAAAAAAATTGTGTTGACTTATTTAGCGTCGACCAAAAACTGACGAATAACCGACAATATTACGTTGATTTTTATGATTTAGAGTCAGCTTTTAGCCAACTCCAAATCGAAACATTCTTGTAGTGATATAATTTTAATATTGATTTTAAATAAGATTTAACAAGATATATTATGTTATTATATTTTATATCTACACTTTTTAACAATATATTAACATATATCATTTTAATAATATAAATAAAAGTAATTTTTAATAACAAATATTGTATCACTATAAAATGTAATACTGCATAATAATTTTTTTTTTATAAAGAATAAAATAAAATAAATTTTGTGTCAACATAGTGTCGGCTTAACCGACAATAAAAAATTAAAATAAATAAATTTATTAGTGACGACTTAGCCAACACAAAAAAAATTGTGTTGACTTATTTAGCGTCATAAAGAGAGATGAGAGTGAGACTTGAGAGAGTAAGAGTGGGGGAGAAATAACGGAAAGGGAAAAAGAAGGGGCCTCACAATCTCCCCAACAACAAAAGTTTTCGTCCCCGAAAACAGACTTACTTGGGAATAGAAATAGATACCGCTCCCTGCACTGCTGCTCCACTTCCCATGTAGCCTCACCAGTAGCTGCATCCCACAATACTTTCACCAGAGCAATGGACTTGCCCCTCAACTCCTTCAGCTTATGATCAACCACAGCTATTGGCAACTTCTCATACGTCAGATTCTCCTTCACCCATACATCATCCAACTTCACCACATGACCAGGGTCATGAACATACTTCCTCAGCTGAGACACATGAAATACATTGTGTAGGTTTGAGAGGGACGGTGGCAAAGCCAACCAATAAGCAACCGGACCCACACTCTGTATGATCTGATAGGGACCAACATACCTCGGTGTCAACTTCCTTGCTTTCAGTGCTCTACCCACACTAGAGGTTGGGGTCACCTTCAGAAACACATGTTCCCCTTCAGCAAACTCCAAAGGCTTTCCCCTTTTGTCAGCATATGACTTCTGCCTACTCTGAGCAGTCTTCATCCTCTCTTGAATCAGCTTCACCTCCTCAGTAGTCTGTAGGATTTGCTCTGGTCCCACAACCACTGACTCACCATCTTGATACCAACATAGAGGAGTCCTACATCTCCTGCCATATAAGGCTTCAAACAGCCCCAACCCAGTACTAGCATGAAAGCTATTATTA